TAATAAAATATTTTTATATTTTAATATGAAAATCCCATTATAATATACATTTGTGCACAAAATGTCTTTCATTTGAGATTGAGAATATGTTTGAAAATATGTGAAAAATCTCATAGCACAAGCATTAAATTTAGCCAAGGCTGTATAAGCTACATTTTAATAAGTTAAAAATAAACCAAGGATTATATAAACCATGAACTCTGTAAATAGGTTAAAAAAGTTAATATATTTGAGCATATGTAACAGTTTACTTGTATATAAAAATATTTCATACAAAAGAACACTGGATGTACAAGCAGACATTTTTGGTATTGGTTTGGTTGTCTACGGCCATTGTGTTTAAATTTCTCTTTGTTGGCTTTAACATAGCCAGGGGACAGGACTCATCAAATAAATACAGAAGACTTCTCACTGTACAAGGAATATGGCAGCAGATACATAGATGACAATGAGGTGAATCAGTTAACCTGATTATTGATCTAGAACAATTATTAAATACCATGCTACTAAAATGATGACAGACAGGCACCTGTTTTCAGCCAAAGGAGAGAGACATTTTGTGTGTTTAAGCCAATGTTCATTAGATGAGTGTACCCAGAGGCTTCATAAGCAGACAGAAATCAGGTCGCTCCAGGTTGAAAACTACAGCAAATATGCTAGATCAGCGTTTCTCAAAGTGGGGTATGTGCACAAGAGGTGTAGGACCTTACTTCATACTTTTCTCCACAGTTTAAATCCATGTATGCCAACTAATGCAGCTCTCTTAACTGGAATGCGGCATATTTTTAAAGCAGTGAATGTGACTTTCAAAAATTATTTACTGGTGGTTAATAAATCAATGTAATTTAAAACATGTACCAGGAAAATTCAGCTGCAGTTAAATGTCAGATTCACTGCTTTATAAATATACACTAATGAAATGATTCTATCGACCGCTGCAAGGAAGTTTCTAAGCCACGAACCAGTAAATGGACATGAGCTGCTGGCCATTTTCAAGAGTGGACACTGGTTCTGTGAGCAGACAAATAAGGGATTCAATGTTAGACCCAAGGGGACAGGAAATCAACTGCAGAGATTCAAGTGGCAGTATTAAAGTGATAGCAGCTCTATGCAGGGTGCATGTTCTTCCTACTTGTGCCAGCTTAAAGTGACATTAAACCCTCAGATTTTTTAACATAAACCAATACTGTAATGTGTGCCTTACTGTAATCCATGGTTGTTTCCCTTCTCTTTGCTGCTCTTCCTTTTAAATCCATGTCTTCTCATGCTTGGGGAGAACTTCCCTTTTCAGCTCAGGGCCTCTTCCTGTAGTGCTGGCTCAGGTTACAGCCTATACATATCTATACACAGACACCGTGTATCCATTCCAAGGCAGTCTGCTGCAAAACAGAAGTTCTGCCCAGCATGAGAACAGATACAGATTTAAAAGGAAGAGAAGCAAAGAGAAGGGAAACAACCATGGATTACAGTAAGGCACACATTACAGTATTGTTTTATGTTAAAAAATTTGAGGGTTTAATGTCACTTTAAACTGGCACAGCTCAAGTAGGAAGAACATGCACCCTGCATAGAGCTGCTCCAAACAGCACGATCACAGTTGTCAATATATCTATCTATCTATAGACATATCTATATCAACAGTGAATAGACAGACCCTGCTGACTTGCATAAAAGTTCCAACTCAGAATTATGCTTGCCAGTTATCTCCGTTAGTCCTGCAAGAAATAGAACCGCACGGTGGTACACAAATACACAGAAAAGCAGCAAATTATGCAAACTATTACTAGGCCCCAAGTCTAAAAACATTTTTTTTAATATGAAAAGTCCATACAGCAGAATTGTATTATAAAGCCACAAATTGCATTCAGAAAAAATAACTTAAGCACTTCAGGATGTGAAACCTTTGGGAAAGAGAGCATGGTGCTTTACTGCTGTTTTATGTAACAGAGTTTGAGAAAGACCCCAGAACAGGATAAATACTGAGATATCTGAAACTTGCATATCTGTATCGGGAAATGTTCTAAAAAGCTTTATTGTATATTGGGATGGTAGAGATAGTCATCAAACCCCTATCCAAAATCTGCTGCAAATAATACATTTAAGGAAAAGAGCAATGATGTACAACCACATAACAGCGGTTACAATTTTACTATTATAAAAGCTGAAGGCTCACGATTGCTGCGGTTGACTGTGTACCGCCACTCTCCGCCATTGTTTTTACATAATAGCCTAAAAGATTTCAGCTATATATATGTGGTCAACTTTTTACCCATGGAAAGGATATCTCAATGTGGATATCAGAGTATTAGAACGCTCACCTTCAGTATATGAATGCATCGGTTTTAAGCCCCCATACTGTATGTTATGACGACCTGTTGACCTAATGTTCCCTTTGACTGCATCAGGGCCAACCTACAGTAGAAACCCAGGCAGAGGAAGGAGACAACCAAGCTTGGTGCTCCTAATGGAACTGGAGGTGTTGTTTGCTCATTAAATTGACTCCACCTCCTCCAACAACCTGCGCTCGATAGGGTTATTTTTGAATAGCATTTGTAAAAAATAAAGTTTTAAGTGCATAATCTTTGTAAAAATAACATTAAAGTGACAACATGTAAAATGGCAATGGATGACAACACAGGTGTAAAATATACAGTTATGATAAACAAATGTACCCCAGGGGGGCTTTATACATTATTTTATACAGAAGCTCATTTTTAATTGCACAGATTACATGCTTTCCTTCAGCAAGTTCAAATGGTTTTTGCTGCTGTCATAAGAATGCAATTTTTTTTTTAACCTACTGAACAAAATTTACATTAGAAAACAGTTTGTTCCATACATGAATACTGTTTCTTGGTATAAATAAGCATTTCACTTTTTAAAATAATATAAACTTCACTAAGTGCACCTTATAAACCACTTCTATTCGGAGGAATGCATACGCAAATAGACAATCTGATATAGAAAAGCATAAAACAAGGCTTAAAAGGGATACTTCAGTGTTTTGTTTTTTTCCAGTTAAGTTTCTTAAAAAAAAAAAAAAATGTATTCACAATATGGCACATGAAGGTCACTCCTGGGCGGAGGGAGTATATGCTGCAGTTTCATGCTACACAAAGTGGGCCTCTCTGTGTTCTAACTCCTGAACACGCTTTGCCCGAAGTCTTGGAAAGGCGGGTTTGACATCAGATGGTGAAAACTCCTCAGGAACAGTTTTTTCTGAGGGTTTGCCTTGTCCATGTGTTTCAGATACCAGATCTGAGTCTACAACTAGATTCACATTATTGTTGTTGTGCTGATACTGTGCTTTACCACCACTGGCGGATGTGGTGTCACTTTGAGAAGTCTCTTCACTTGGCTTTGTTTTTTGGGGAGGTGGTTTGTAAAAAGTTCCTGGTGGAGGCTGCAAAGTTCTTGGGGCTCTGAAAGCAGAAAGTGGATTAGGTTCAGTTGAGTTGCTGTCGGTGGTGGCTGCAAATGGCTTGAGCTGGCCCGTGGATGGTACTTTTGGCAGCGTGGGATTGGATAACAAGATGGTGGGACTTCCATCGTGCGCTCTTATTTCTTGTGGAACGTTCGTCATGATCATTGCAGTCCTGGGTGTGATGTCATACTGTTTGTACTGCTTATCCCACGTTTTACGATAACTCTGGGAGTCGTAACAAGAAAGTCTGTGGCAAGAATTCACAGTGGATAGAGGTTTAGTCTCAGAGACCTCTTCAATAATGGGACTCTTGCCAAGTTTGTCTGAGGTGGCCACACCCACATTCCTGGAATTCTTTTCGTTCAGCACGGAGGGAGGAAGAAGCCGATCCACGGGTAAACTTACAGGACGAACCACTGGCTTAGCTCGAGGAGCCCTCAGCTGAACTTTGGATATTTGTCTATAGGATTTTGCAGCTACAGAATTGTTTGCTTTTGTGCCGTCTTCTGCAATACTTCTTACCTCTCCCTCAGAAATGGTGTCCAAAGAGACATCTATGAAAAAAAATAACCAATTAGATGGGATTGTTCAAGCTGTACTTCAAGGACTGTAGTTAAAAAGTGCACTTTTTGCTGCATAAAATCCACCACTTTTCAAGCAACTTGTAACACAATTATGTTGTAAGTAGTTGCAAACCATAATCAAATGACATTTAGTTTGCTAAACCTTTGTGCATCAAAGAATTGCCTTTAAAAAAAAAAAAAAAAAGCTGTTTTTACCTTTTTTTAATTTGCATGTTAGTCCTGCTGATCTTCAGCAGCCTTTTTGCAGCCACTTGCTATCTGCATGCACTCCAGGTATGGCTGCATGGCATTTCTCAAAACAGGTTGAGAAGTAGAGTGTGAGCGATGGTCACAGTTTGTGTCTACCACCTGTGTCTAGAATCAGACATATTGCCTTACTACAACAAAGCCGCAACTTATTATAGACTCAGGGTAAGAGCCAGGGCCTCAGGTACTCGTGAAATAACGGACAGAAGGAACAGAACAAAAGTTCCACGTGGCTCTTTTCAAGTAGGAGCAGCAGTGGTGAGATGCTTCCTGGATCCTGTATAGTGGGAACATGGAGCAGTGGATGACGTTACTGCTCAGTCCCCCCGTGTTCACCTCTTTCACGGTAAAACCGTCAAGAACAGGGAATAAAGGAGCCCAGCGGTATTTGAGGAAGCTCCTGGTGCTTGGCCCAAAAAGCCTATTCTGCGTCTTCAGAGACAGGGCAAGTGCTGATGCAAAGCCAGCAGCTCAGGACCTGAAAAGCACGTTACAGCTGTTTACCAAGCTGAGTCTGGCAGCACCTTATGTGGACCACAGTGTCTAAAAGGTAACTTCTAGGCTATCCCCATAATGTCCTGTTCAACGGCGTATGGACATGGTACTCCAAAAGTCAGACTGATAAAAACTGTATCAGAGAGCCATCAGAGACAAACTTCCAGCAATTATGCAGAGAAGAAAAAGGGGCACTAGCAAAAAATACAAATATATATATTTTTTCCCATTTTTGAAAATTAGACACCCATCCCCCCTGCACACTAGCAAAAAACTGAGGCATGCTGGTAGTCTGAGAGGAGATCCTATGCTGCCCTAGAGTTGTCTTTGACTGCTAGTGTTTACTCCTCCTGTCTACTCCTCCTCCTCACTATATTCTGCATTTCATTAGACGAGAAATAATATAGTTTCCTTTAGGTGGATATGATTTGCATGGCTCTGTCCACTATTCTTAAATGAGGAATAAGCCCCTTCATTTTTTTTAATCTGTGATGGAAATAAGACATGCAAATACTTTGTTAGAAAAGGTTCTACCAGGCATTTAACTGGTTTTACTGGGAGGCTTTTTGGTTCCTTTAAGCCCACCTCACAATAACCTGTCTGGCTATATTTCTCATGAATATGTAAATAAAAACTGTAGATAGAGGCAAGGTTTATAAAACATTAACAAACACGGACAATATTTCCTTTAAGTTATTCTCTTTTACTTCTATATATAAAAAAACAAAAACTAATAAAATTATATATTTTTAAATAACTATAAGCATATTGACCCTCGATTGCTATAGATAGCAAGCCATATAACCTAAATCTTCACCCTCTTAACCCGATATAAGTATGATAGTCATGAGTAACCCTAATATTTCCAAGTGTCCCTTTAGGGGCTCACATAGCAATGGCTGAGAAACTCTGCTTTATAGCAACAAATACAGTATATCAAACTGTTAGATGTATGTAGTAAAATTGATCTCATCTGAACTAAATCATTATCTTCCATAGGGTCAGCTGTGGTCAAACCATAGAATTGGACTTAAACGTTTGGGAGTTTTAGCTACATTACACAAGGATTTCACGTGATTTCCAGCAACTATTGATAACCAAAACCTCAAATTCCATGAAACGTTTGGAAACTAAATGCTACAACTGCGTCATGAAAATGACTGTTCTAAAAGGCTACACCTGTGGTTGGTAGGAGGAAGCAATCCTTAGAGGACATTAATCTCTACAAGATTTGATTGAGGATTTAAACCTACTTCACAGCGATTTAGATCAGCGATGGTAATTATTGTTTTATCATGATGAAAGGCGATCTCTTCTCAAATATTCGCTTGGCTTGAAATGTGTTTTGTTTTGTCATACACTTAATGCCTGTTTATTTGATTGATAAATAAACTAGTATCCTAGCAATGAAAACCTTATATTAGGTAAACATTAACAAGTGTTTAAAGAGAACAATACTGAACTTGTTACATCATCAGAAAAATAACAGTATTTCTGTTTTGCAACAGCATTCTTTCTAGTTTTGTAGAGGTGTGGGCGGCTTTGTACAACTTTCTCTTGAGTACTTTATTTTCTGGCCTGGTGATCAGCACCTTGTGTTGGATGCATATATTTACAGATAGGATTCACTTAACAGCATGATGCCAAGAGTAATGGTGTGCTTTAACACACAGCAACCAATCAGGCTTAATAATTTTAAATACAGTCAAGGAACTATGTAATGGAGCCATGTGACTGGCTGTGATTGGAAGTTAAACACAGTTGTGATATGCACCATCTTATTAACCCCTTCGTGACTGACGACGTACAGTGTACGTCGCCAGCATCGGGGCTGTTTAAACAGACTCCCGGCGACTTTTGCCGCCGGGACTCTGTTTAAACTTGTAGAGCCGACTGTCGGCTTTACAACAGAAGCGATCCTGGCAACCTGCATTTACGGCTTAGCTAAGGCAAAGTCAACCCAAAACTAATATATCAGTACAGGTAGGATGCTGATGGGCTTGCTCAACCAAACACTGGCCTTTTATAATTCTTGGGAACTTCAATGTCCCCGTTACAGCTACTGGTTTATGACCCGCAGCCAATCAACATGGAGCCGGCTTTCTGGGCAATCAAGAGGCCAGTCGCGTGTCATTACCTGCTACCCGGCTTCCTAATTGGCTGGGAAGCCGGCTCCATGTTCCCTTGCGGCACTGCCAGTCAGAGGAAATCTCCCTCTGACCGGAAGTTCTGGTATAGTGGGTTAGTATCAGATCATTTGGGCGAGTACCCTGTAAATACTCGGTATCGCTGCATCCCTAATCAATTGTACTGTGACACAGCGCCGTCCGCGTTGTCACTTCAAGCACCAATAATTTGGATTTGAAGGTCTGTACGCTGTATAGAATGCAGGTGACTCTCCAGCATTGGCCGAAAAAGTGCCGACGCAAGAACCAGACGAAATTCGCAGAGTGTATGGCCAGCTTTAGAAGGGAAATTGGTTTGTGCCAGGAGTACCTAATGTTTAAAAAAGATCTTCGCAAAGTGTCAGTCAGTATACCTGCCATTTTTCAAGGATACCATCTGCCAAGTCTACACACTGTTGGAAACTACAGCACTGCTCAAGTCTGAGCTCTAAAGAAAGGCAACTTCATACAATCATTGGTAGATGCTAGCGCACATTATTTACTTAACATCCAAAAGCTCTCAATAAAACTTAACCAACCTAAATATTATGAGAGCAAAACATTGTGTGCATAGAGTTGTCTCTTAAAGCTGGTGTATTTTGTGCAGAAAAAAGAAGGCAGCTCACCTTGTTCCTCTGAACCTTGTAATGTGAACACTGGGCTTACTGGCTCTGAGGAGGAATCTTGGCGCAATTCATCTTCATGGTCACACGAGTTGTGTTCTGGAAGAACCAGGTTACAAACGTTTAGGGTTCTCAATGCACATAAACAAATACTTTTTGTTACGTGTGAAATATACACAAGTATGGCAGAACAGACATACAAAAGGATCTCAAAAGGACCAGAGAATGTATTAATAACAAACAAAAAAGCTAAATTAAACATGTCTATACATAGGAATACAAGCAACTGCAGGGCCAGGTAATAGGCATAATCTCAGCATGGGAACTTGAGAGTTCAGATCAAGTAAAGTAAAGAAAATTAGAATGAAACAGGCAGAAAGAAAAGGGAGGCATCACTTGAATGAGAAGCAGGAATATACAGCCAGCTGCACGGCAAGTTCCAAACAAGAGATGAACCTTTCACATAAGAAGGTAATACTGTTTTTCCATCATGCACAACTAATGGATTGTCAAGTTGTTTGCACTTCACCAAAAGGACAGCAATGTAATGTGATGTTGCCATGACATCAAAAACTTACCACTCTCTTCCACTATGCTCATACTATGATTTCTGCTCTCTCGCTCCTCCACTCCTTTAAAGTCTAATGAATTCTCATCCAGGGAGCAGGCACGTTTGGAAAGCATAATGTTCTACAAAGGCAGAAAAATATTGTGTCAGGTAACATGGTTAAAGACTGATATATAAACACACATAAAATCCTAAGCCCTATCTGCCCTGTAGTTCTATCTATGAATTTATTTTCATGAAACCACTCTAAAATATTCTTATAAGCACCTGCCGCCCCCAACCTGAGGTGCATTTTCAGTACTCTCCTATGGAAGAAAAGGTGGCTGGGTGGGGTGTATTGAGTGAAACAAACAAAGTCACTGATTTGATATAGCTGATTTTTAATAAATGATCAACAGAAGACCTACCTCGTTGCCAACTGGCAATGACTGTGACTTGCGAATCTGCTGCGGTTCCCTGTCCTCTGCCAGAACCAGCTTTTCAGGATTAACCATCTCACGGGACACGTCAAATATTTTATCATAGTATGTTATAAGCAGTTCCACAATACGTGCTTGATATGGATAGTCCACAAGAGAGGAGAGTGAAATGGTGGCATCGGTCTGACGTGGCCTAATTAGGGTTGGTCCAAATATTATTCCCAGGTTGCTGGCAGTCATTTTATTTTCTTCCACTTCTTCTGTCACCCTATAAGGTAAAACAACATACAGTCAACTATATATGCGATTCATTTATATATGTTTCAATGTACTAGATGTGTACGATTATTAGCTCGGCACAATATTGTTTTTCACTTTTTCATATTGTACAGCTTTAGAAGTGTTGTTTCTATGTGTCGTTTGTTTGACCTTAGCCTCCCTGCAACACGACAAAAATGTACTTGTTGACCTTCCAAACCAGTGATTTTTCTACAAACTATGATAGGGTGACAACACTATCACAAATCTTTTGAAATCAGTGCAGCATTCTCACCCACATGTTGGTGCCCACATGCCCTCAAGAACTATAGCATAATGTGCCAAAGTGCATCAAAGTCATTGATGATACACAATCTTTCAGTCACCAGCATGAACAGAGTGGCTAAATCTTCCTAGCAGCAATGCAGACAATAAAAAACCTGACAGAGGTTGCAAACCTTCCCTACTCTATCCAAAACTAAAGGAAAAACCCTTCTATTACACCAAGATTCCCAATGCAAGCTTTTCCTGCAAGAGAAGAATGTAAATTCTTACCTTTTCTTGCTTGCTCAGTAAAAACCATCCCCAAAGTCCATTGGGAAACTGGGAGTGTAGATTCCCTGGATCCTCCACAGCCCCGAGTGGTTTATTCTGCCGCTTTCCACATCACTACAGTATACAGTGGTGACATGGAACCAATGAGGGCAGAACCCAGGAGCTTGTATCAGTTTCCCTGTGAACATTGGGGGCAGATTCTATTGAGCATAGTGGTGTTTGGTGGCACGGGCAGCAGGAAAAGGGTGTACTACATTCTTTTTTTCCAGGGATAGTTTGCATTGCTTTAGAATAATGACAGTATTGCCCATACAACTCACAATCAATCTCTAAGGCAATCTAATTATTGGAAAGTACTGCAGAGCATGATTTCTGTATACCAGGTTAAAATTAGAAAATGTTACGAGCTCTGTAAAATGTATTTTCCGATCACACCCACACATCATTGCAACAATAAACATTTGTTATAGATATTGTGCTTGCGTCTGTGCATACTTACATTTTTAAATAGGTCAACAGCTAATGTTCTAAGTGCTAAGTCTAGCCTGAACATTCTGCAGAGAAATTTGAGAATTATGCTGCGGGATAAATTCCTCACAGCAAAACAGTCATGTTATGCCCCGGTGCAATGACCACATCTCGTGGTGTGTGAGAACGGACTGACCTGTCTATTATAATTCAAACAGGCAGAATGCCCAGCAACTAATGCACAAACACCTCAGGAATGGGCTGGGGATGGAAATCTATCCTTGCTCTGCGTACGGATAATATTTTTCTTTAGCATCTACTCTTTCAACAGATGTCTTTTTGGACAGACAGTAAATTAGAGGGTGGGAAAGTGAATTATCTAGGACTCTGTGAAAGCAACCATCAAAAACACCTGTATATGAAGGGGGACACTGAGGTTTGCAAATACGTAAACAGCCTTAGGTTAGACATATACATAGATTTCTCTTGTTCAGTTGCATGGGCTGAATGTGAAAAATAATTTGATTCCGCCATCTGCACTAAACAGCATGGATGGAGGAATCTCTGCCTGGTGGTTACTGTATTCAGGCAGCTGAGGCCCACAGGGTGGTACCGACAGGGCCACCCGAAGCTCAAACATTGGTCAATTCGAGCCACGTATGGTTAACCTTAAAGTCTGACAACAGCTCACAAGCTTGAACGTAGCCAATTGGAGCTGTGACTATGCAGGTGTGTGGGGACCACTGGGAAGACTTTTGCTATCAGATAGAGTGCAGAGGTCCTTTTCTTCAGCCTGCTAGGGGATTTGGAAGAGTTTTGGGCTGGAGCTCAAGCAAGTAAAAAATGAAAAGGTCAAAATTAAAAGCATGCCACACTCCACAGGACCTTGTTCCAAAAATAAAAGTATTTAAGGAGCAACAAATACACCGACCATATCTCCCCTCCTCGATCCTCAACCTAGCGCATTTCACAATTCAGGCTTAGTCACAGGTTTCTATGACTAAGTCTGAACAGTGAAACACATTACAGGTTGAGGATCGAGGAGGGAAGATATGGCTGTTGTATTTGTTGCTCACTAAATAAACTTATTTTCCAGACAAGATTCCGTGGAGAGCAGCGTGCTTTAAATTTTGATTGCTGAAGTGAAGACGTGCTTGTTGCCTGTACCCGGGACTGAGATGCATCCAGAAGCCAGATTTAGAATGTGAGGGGTGTTTGTGCTTTATTGGGACTTACTATTTTATGGATTATTCCATTACTGGCCCTGAGTAGATATATCTGGTTAGATAATTGAAAGGCTGTACAGAAAGATTTGGCTACAAAATACAGTTCCTTTCCAGTGACTTTGTAACTCCTCTAAGCACTCCCTTGAACTTCCCACCCCATCAGTTTGTTTGCATACCAAAACATGATAATAAACATTTAAGATATTGTTGTGGAACTCTAGCAAATTCTTATTTTTGTCAGATACAGTGCGAATGGGTAAAACCCAAGTTAGGTTTTAATGGTGTCCATGCTCCTAATATCTACATTTTCCGTCACTTCCAATTGTATCACCGGTACAGGAAGTATATGACTCTCTTTGAAGAGGACTGGCATCTTTATTAGTAGAGTGGAAAAACGTTACAAACTTTGTGTTGCGGTTTGTGTTCCCCGATTGGCAACATTTTCGTTTGCTCCTTGTATTTTTTTGGGTGACTTGTAGTGAAGGGAAATGTTCCCAGAGGGGTTACTGACCGCAAAAAAAACATTTCCCTATGACGATATCTATACAAAAAGGCCCTTGGGTATAATAATTGTTTTGAAAACTATAAACCACCTTTTAGATGCTCCCACAGGTAATCAGAAGCATATAAAAGGGGATACAGGTTTTTATTACTTATACAGTTATCAATAAATAGGCCATCCTAAGATGTGCTTGCCTAGGTTCATCTACTGAGTTTACTCTAGAACATGCAGAGGAATGCACCCACTAAAGTTTTGTAGTCCCTATGTTTTTTACCCTGACCCTGTTAGCAGGGTGCATCGTATCATCCCTATATGCATGAATCCAAGGGTTGATCTACATACCCACAGCAGAGATTATTTTGCTGGTAGTACCCCTTACCTGTGTAGATGTCCCATCAAAAACTGTAACGTATTGTAGTTTGGCAGTGGTAGCGGTTTCAGCAAGTCTCTTATTTTAAGGATGACCCTGTTGAGTTCAACTCCGGATGGCTGTCTCTTCAATGGTGGGCTGCCTGCTTTAGAGTCAACCTCATCGATAGAGCGCTGGCTTTCTTTGGCTAATCCGATCAACTCATTGTAAAGGCGAAATAAAATCAAGGGCTCTGGAAGCTAAAGAAATGCAATCATTTAGATTAGATAAGATACTTTAAACACCTGTAGGTTTGATAAAACATTGAATGATCAGGTTATCTTCTTGAGAGTAACCCTATTTATAGCAAGGAAAGCTTTAAAGTGACATTAAACCCTCAGGTTTTTTAACATAAAACAATACTGTAATGTGTACCTTACTATAATCCATTGTTTTTTCCTTTCTCTTTGCTGCTCTTCCTTTTAAATCTGTATCTCTTCTCATGCAGGGCAGAACTTCTGTTTTGCAGCAGACTGCCTTGTCTCTGAAATGGATACATGGTGTCTGTGTGAAGGTTCACAATCTGAGCCAGCACTACAGGAAGGGGCACTCAGCTGCAAAGGGAAGTTCTCCCCAAGCATGAGAAGAGATACAGATTTAAAAAGGAAGAGCAGCAAATGGTTTACATTTACCCAATTGCATCTTACATCACAAAAAACATTTCAATGCAGAAA